ATTAATCTCACTAATACACTCAAACTACCAATCACTACAAAACCCATTTGGGATCCATTATATCAAAAATGGACAATTAACGATTTTATGCGATCTCGTAAAAATTGATCAGACCACTCCGTTGAACTATGCGACGCAACATCGAAGAACATGTCGTTTGTTTACTTATCCAAGGCAAATAAGATATATCTACCGGAAAACCACAGTGACCTGCTTCCACTTCAATTGTTTAGGGTCCTAGCGTATATTTTTGGACATGGGTGCAGGTATTTGGAAAGCAAGGTAAGAAGACGAAAGCTGGCATATACATGCATTTCGTATTGTCTCCTCAGTACCATTAACAATAACTAGTATCCAACCATAATACCTAAAGATGGGTGTGACCAAATAAATACGAGGTGCAAAATGAATGACGGAAGTTCCACCCCTATATCCACGGCAGCCTTAAGCTGACAAAAATTGTTTTTGAACACACAGGGACGGCTTCATCCGGCTTAGCACTGAGGAGACAATAAGAAATGAATGCATCTACCAGCTTTCGTCTTCTTACTGTGCTGTTCGAATTTCTGAAGGAACTAACTGCTTTAAATTTCTCAGACAACGAATTCCCGCTAAAACTATCAAATTGCTTCATCGTATAGTCAGCCTGAGGTACAAGATTGTATGCGCACTTGTGGAAATATCCTTTCTTACAAAATGTATTCTCCTGCGTAGATACCCCCGCTCGGTTCTCACACTGTTGCGTAGAAATAAACTCAAGCCATCTGTGGCTAACCTCAAACGTGTGGCATCCGCTCACTTGGAGACGGCTAAGTCCAAACTTCTGAGTTTACTGGAAACTCACGCACGTCTACTACATGTGATAGAGGATCTATCGTTGTGTTGTGTTCGCTAACTTTTGTAAACCCAGTCTCAACTGTACAAAGCGAAATCGGAATACTCGGTTGGAGAACTCGCTTATGAACATCCAGCATGAGGAGCCAATTGTTCGTGATCCTAGTAAGTACGCGGTATATTTAGCAGACGTACAACTAGATGCTTTGCAGTTAAAAGCTTTGTCATATGGGTTTGATTACAAAATTCCTCCAAGAAGACTGGACGGTTGTTCATGGAAGCTCAGTTTGACAATTTTGTTAATCAATAAATACAATAAATTGTTGATTACATTTGTGAGCTAGCTGAGCAATCTAGTTATTCGTTACCAATTCCAGTCGAATTTCTAAAGGAAACCTTACTTCTGTGTGCAGCAAATGTTGGATTCCACTTTCAGAACACCTCATATCGTTAAATCTATGGTGTGGCAATGGGTAGCCCACTAGCTCCGGTACTCCCCAATTTCTTCATGCTGATGATAGAAAGAGGCATATCCGCAGAACTAGCCAAGTTAACATACTATAAATGTTATATGGATGATATAGTGGCCTTTTGTTCGTCGGAGCAGCAGATTGTTCATTTGGTGCAGCAACTCAACTGTGTACATGCCAAGTTGCGGGTCACCTGCGAGGTGGAACAGAAGAACTGTCTGTCATTCTTAGACATTCTCATCAGTCGTAAGGATGAGGCTCATTAAGAGGTCTATCTACAGAAAAGCAACACGGTCCGGTTAATACCGGCACTTCACCAGCTTCACATCGGTGCGGTACAAGCGGACACTTGTGAAAACTTTAGTTAGTCGTGCTGGACGAATTTGCTCGGCTGATTGTCTAGACGACGAGCTAGAGTTGATTACAACAACACTCGTCGTGAATGGTTATCCCCATAGATTTATAGATAAACACAGGCAGCAGCGAGTCTTGAAGGAATTAGTGCATATGGCAGCCAAGAAAAAGATCTATATCAAGTTGCCTTTCAAGGGTGACTTTATCGAAAAACATGCAACGTTTAATCTCCGCTACGCAGAAAAGTTACTGTGCTGCTCAGGTTGTGGTTATCAATAGAACCCGTAACTTGCCGGTGCCTCCAACCAACGAAGCTCAACCGATCGGGGCCAACTCACACTGTATACACAACTTCACGTGCAACTGCGAAGACAGTTACATAGGAAGAACCAATCGGTCGTTGACGTAGCGAATAACGGAACACGTGCCACATGTCGCAGCGAGACTGGACTTTAACGTGGTGCGACGGTTTGCGTACCTCCTTGACCCATTGAGCTATACTGAGTGGTTCCTCCGGGCACCGTGAGAGCTACTCCTACCAGGTTGGTCAGTGGTGAGAGGTCAGACAAACTCAGTCTCCTAATTCTCCAGCGTGGGGGTTTGAAATAGGATGGCGTCCATTTCTGTAAAACTAAATCATTGCCACCTCCATGTTGCCTTGTGGACAGGGTTTTGAGCTAAAGGCTTTGGATGAGGATCCTAATAGTCCTCATGTCTAGGTCCTGTCGCCCTGGCAGTATCTCAGCCCACATACAACCATGACATTTTCTTCAAACATAAACTTCATCCTACATCCGCCGTCGCGCAGATTATCAAGAGTCACCTTATCTGCAGCATACAGCAGGGCACATAAGCGAAAACATGCAACTGCTGGAGCCTCCCTTCTTTCTTTTCCACCTTTTTCTCTTACTCCCATCCCGACCCCCATTACTAACCATCCTTCTATAATTCCCAGCTTAATTGACAACAACCGAAGTGCCACTAGAGTAGAACCACCTGCAAACACCTTCCAAAAGCACCCATCGGATGCCTATGGGCAACAGCCCCTTATAAGGCCACGCTATCCCGTTTCCATGGCGACATTCAACGTTCGCACTCTAAGACAACCAGGTCAACAGGCTGCATTCGCACGCACCCTGGACACGCTGGGTATTGATGTGTGTCTTGTGTCCGAAACTAGGATCAAACACCTTAACGGGGTTACTAAATTAACTGCACCCGGCTTATCTTCTCGTTATTGGTTGCACGCATCCGGAGACGCCGATGCAGTACTCACGGGTCAAGCTGGTGTAGGCATCATTCTAAGCTCCAAGGCTGAACCATCGTTGGCTGATTGGATTCCGGTGAACAGCCGTTTATGTGCAGCCCGTTTGACGACATCATCCAAGGTTGATTCACGAAGTAGTACAAAACGCTGTTTGTTTGTAATTTTGCTTATGCACCCAACGACTGCAGTTCAGATGTTCTAAAGGACACATTCTATCACGAACTGAACGCGCTACTACGCAGTGCTACTAGTTCAGATATAATAGTACTTGCAGGGGATATGACCGCACAAATAGGGCGTCTGAGCACTTCAAAAGCTCAGCTAGGTGGTAATTACGGGCTTAACTCCGAACGGACAGACAACGGAGAGAGTCTGCCGCACTGTGTGCGAAGCACCAGTTGTTTCTTACTAGCACTGCTTTTCGATACAGTGGGCGCCGAAGTGCCACTTGGCGTCTTCCTGTAGCTGGCTTGCGATGGACCCAAATTGACCACATAGCCATAAGTTACAAATGGCGTGGTTCCATCCTGGATTGCCGCTCGTACTGGAGTACCTGTGTCGACTCTGATCATGTCTTGGTGCGCTGTCGTTTCTCTATGAAGTTTACCGGGAGGCGCACAAAGCGTCCCCTACGATTGGCAACGGAGAAATAGTGTCAGTCCTCGGTCAGGCAAGCTTTTCAAGAAGCGTTGCGCACCGAACTTCCGCTGTCTTGTCCTAATGACACTGAGCTTCAGTGGAATAGGATCTCGACCGCCATGCACGACGCAGGAGCATCTGCTTGTGGCATTATCCATCGTCACCGCACCAGTCACTGGATATCCGAGAGGTCGGTGAACCAGTTGGAATCTAGAAGACACCGCCCGGCTGGCGCTGAACACCATGTAACCAGACGGGCGTGAACAAAAGTGGAGCCTACGTGCTGACAAGGAAGCACAGTGAACCAGTAGGGCTCAAGAAATGGACGAGGCAGGAGCAGTAGGCAATAATAGCAAGCTCTTCCACCTAATCCGCACCAATGGTCAAAGAAAACCAAACGTCAGTGACACAATAAGGGATAGCGCGGGTGCGCTGACATACAATAAGGAGCGCCGTATGGCTTGTTGCGCGGAACACTTTCAGGATCAGTTCAGCTGGCCACCTGCTCCCGGACCTCTTCCTACTCAGGTGATGCAGGACAAGCCATGGACGGTTAGTTTAGAGCCTCCGTCAGAGGCCGAGGTCCGAAACACGATCACAGCCCTCAATCGTTTTCGTGCTGCTGGCCCGGATTCCCTCCCACCTGTAATATTTTAGGATGGAGGTGAGGTCTTCTGCAAAGCACTGACCTCCCTATTCGAATGTATCTGGAAGGAAGAGAGTATACCGGCTAATTGGAGCGAATCGTTTATAGTATTAATATAAAAGAAGGGAAGTCGCACCGACTGTTCTAACCACAGGGGTATTAGCCTAACGCCAGTTGTGACAAAATTACTGGCCTCGATTATCGTTCGTCGCCACACTGCGGAACGGGAATCTCGGATTAGGGAAGTGCAGGCCGGTTTCCGCCCAAGACGTGGCTGTATACACCATATATTCACTTTGCGACAGGTGCTAGAGCAGCGCCACGCATACCGCAGACCGACAATAGCTGTGTTCCCCGATTTCAAGAGTGCGTTCAATCGATTCTGTTCGAAATACTGGCGCGCAAAGGTGTTCCCACGAAATATGTGAACATCCTTCGTGCTCTATACTCGAACACTATAGGCCGCGTCAGGGTCTACGGTGTCCTCTCGGATAGCTTTCCGACCACAAGTGGCGTTCGTCAGGGTTGTCCGATTTCCCTATTTTTGTTCAATTTCGTTGTGGATTCTATCATGGAGTGTTCCCTTGCGGAATCTCACGATGTAGGCGTCAAAGTGCTGCCTGGAGCGATCAAATTGTTGAACCATCCACTCATGCAACTTTGTGAAGGCATAGATTTATCGACAACCACAATCTCCCACGAAACACGGCTGAACACGGGGGACCAGCAGGGCCCGGAAGGCCGCGATCAGTCGTCTAACCGAAAGCAAACTCAAAGGCAAACGTCACCACAAAAAACGGTTAATGGCCGACCCGTTAACGGTCGGCACAAACTCCATTCCTACCACAACCTGTGCTAGCTCACTCTTGGTTACAAAAGCACTATCCTGCATGTATACTAATGCCCAAGGCCTCATAAGTAAGTTGGTAGAACTGCGTCACCGTTTGGCTTCGGAGCCTCGAGACATCATAATGATCGCCGAAACCTGGCTGAGCGGCGAAATCACAGACGCTGAGATTGCCATACCGGGTATGTCAATTCTCCGGAACGACAGAACGGGCAAGGGCGGTGGTGTGCTCATTTATTTCCGAACGAACCTTCGTTGTGAGCTCATAGACGATCCCCAGACTTGTGTCACCGACGTCCTTTGGTGCAAACTGTGGTTGGAACGCAACGACGTATGCCTTCTCTCTGTGGTTTACCGACCACCGAAATCCACTCCGGAAAGGGACAACAGACTTATCTCCGCTTTTCGCTCCGTGCTTAAGCAGAAGTACAGCCACATCCTCGTTGCAGGAGATTTCAACACCCATGACTTGGAAAAACCAGCATCCGAGACAGACGTGTTCAAGGCATATTTGCAAGAGCTACGCTCTAGCACCTTCTTGTATAACCACGTCACCGTTCCAACCAGGTTCAGAACAGGAAACAACCCATCGATATTAGATCTAGTGCTCACTAACGAAGAGCTCATGGCCGATGGACTAAAGGTGTGCAGTCCTTTGGGCCGTAGCGATCACGTGACTTTGCAGTTCGATTACATCTGCTACGCCGAATATCCAGCTGCGGAGCTCGAAACGAGGCAATCTGTTACCAATTACCACGTTCTGTCTGCTCTAGTTGAGAATACCAGTTGGACTTTTCTAGCTAAGTGCACCCCAGAACTAGCCTGGAAGACATTTGCGAACACTATCACGTCACTTGTCATAGAAGCCTCAACACCAAAAGTTTCCCAACAACCCCGCACAGCGAAATCATTCTTGCGAAGCCGAACGCGAAAATGCATGACTCTAAGGGATCGGGCATGGCGCATGTATAAAAGCAACCCCAGCGCAGAAAACTGGACGGAATACGTTTCGCATCGCAACTACTGTGTGCTTTTGGTTCGCGAAGACAAGAGAACGCATCAGCAGGAGCTAGCCAAACGATTCTGTTCGAACAAAAAGCTTCTTTACAAACATGTGAATGGACTTCGCTAGGTGCAACGGGGAATCCCACCACTTAATACGACCAATGGGTATACGCATACTGCGAAGGAGGCGGCCAACGCATTACGGGCCTAGTACTCCCCAATCTTCCAAGGTGTACAAGCCTCGACGTATATTCCGCCACTGGTTACCCCACCGTCCGTTTTATCCAACGTCACGTTAACTGCAGAAATGGTGCTGCAAAAGCTGCTATCCTTGCGTCCACACAGCTCTCCCGGGGCCGATAACATTCACCCGAAAACATTACAGGTAGCTGCCATCCACTTAGCCGAACCACTAGCTGCATTTTTCAGCGCTGTTTCGATGAGAACATCGTACCTTCGAGGTGGAAACAAGGTGTAATAACGCCCATATACAAAGCAGGAAGTCGATCGGATCCTGCCAATTACCGCCCCGTAACGCTTCTGCCTGTGATCGCCAAAGTCACGGAAGTGGTGATAGCAGATGCGTTAACGGGATACTTGGAAAACTACGGCATAATTGCGCCAGGACAGCATGGGTTTCGTCAACATCGTTCATGTACGACGAATCTGCTGATAACTCGTGACAACTGGACCAAGACTGTCGATGAGGGAACAGGAGTCGATGTTGCATTCTTGGACTTTTCGAAAGCCTTCGATCGCCTGGATCATCGAACCCTGCTCATTAAACTCCAACAGTACGGTATCGGAGACCCGTTGTTAGGATGGATCGGTAACTTTCTCTCTGAACGGCAGTTAGAAGTTAGAGTTCGATCATCCTTTTCCGATCCGATTCGAGTGGGATGCGGCGTACCGCAGGGTTCGGTACTTGGGCCTCGTTTGTTCCTGCTTTTCATTAACGATCTAGTAAGAGTTATTACCTCGAAATTCTTACTCTTCGCGGACGACCTCAAGGTTTGGCGGGCGATAAAACGATCGGACGACCATGAAGTCCTACAGCGTGACTTGAATGAGGCCTGGAATTGGTCGGTGAGAAACGCCCTGCCGTTTAATGTGAACAAATGTCGCGTTGTTCATATCCGCCATCGACAAGTCCACGTCTACAAGCTTGAGGCACACGATCTGAAGACCACCACTCAGGAACGCGACTTGGGTGTGCTAGTACAGGAAGACCTAGGGTGTTCCAAACAGTCAGATTCCGCTTCTAAAAGGGGCAACCAGCACGTTGGACTCCTGCGAAGAGCATTCGGAATTTTGGATCCATCCATCTTCTCTTTGATGCTGAATGCCTACGTGCGTCCTCACGTCGAATATGCAATCCAGGCCTGGCAACCCTGGCTAAAACGTGACCTTGCAGCGCTTGAGACCCTACAGCGTCGAGCAACGAAAATCGACAAGGGCTTGCGCCACACTCCTTACCAGGAACGACTGGAGATACTCGGAGTGTTCAGCGGACGGTACCGGCGACTTCGTGGAGACCTCATACTAGTGTACCAGATATTGAGCGATCCCAGTCACGTATGCCGCCACCTCTTGAAGCTCAGCCCAAACACTAACCTTCGCGGTAACAGTTTAAAGCTGATCCATCAGTACAGTCGTCTAGACTGTCGGAGAACCTATTTCTCCCTCCGGGTCTGCGGGCCCTGGAACGCCCTTCCAAACTCAGTTGTTTGTGCCCCCACATTAGATACGTTTAAAAAACGATTGGACGTCGCACTGAGCCCCCTGCGCTTTGTTTTATGAACGAAAACGCTTGTATATATTTAGGCTAACCAGCCTCTTTGGATTTATGCCCCAAATTCACGGTCGTAAATCTGTGCGAACCGGTGAGTACTCCATTTTTATTTGCTACCATCACCAACGATAACAATTTCTTAGCCAGTTTTGCGTCGTACCACTTTATCCCCCTAAAACTGTTATACTTCTACCTTTTATCTCACTGACGCTCCTGACTTCAACCACTTATGTGGTTTGCCAATCTGTTAGTATTTCTATTGCCAACTTGCGGGACTCGTTAAGTGTGTGCTTTTTTACCCGTCATATACCATTGTTCCATTGTTCTGGTGAAAGGTTAGTTGATCTAGATTATGCAGAAGACATCGTTTTGCTTTTCGACGATTTTGCGGCGGCATAATCAACCCTGAATAGCCTGTCCAGAGTGGTCCCATTATTTGGTATGCACTTCGCACCTTCAAAGTGCAATGTGTTGCTGCAGGACCACCAGCCACTTGATGACCCCTTGATGCTTGCTAACGAGGAACTCGAGGTGGCTGATCATTTCACTTATCTTGGCAGCTGCATCAGCAATGATGGGCGCATAGAAACTGACGTCAGCTCACGCATTGCAAAAACCAGAGCTACCATCTTGAACCTGTGGCACCTTTGGCGACAGAAGGGTTTCCCTCCGTCTGAAAGGCCGTGTATACAAGGCCACAATGAGGGTCGTTCTGCTGTATGGTAGTGAGACTTGGCCCCTTCGGTCTGAAGAGCTGAGGAGCCTTCAAGTCTTTGACCATCGTTGTCTGCGAAGCATTGCTGGAGTCGGATGGCACCAGCGTGTTCGCAACGATTATGTGCGTAGGCGAGTACTAGGTGGTGATAACCATGCTAGCTCCCTAGAACAACAGATAGCACTGAATAAGTTGCGTTGGGTCGGGCACGTGCTACGTATGCCTGGTCACCCCTTACCTAGGAGGGCCTTGTTTAGTCTGTCAGGTGTAGGGTGGCGCAAGGCTCGAGGTGGACAGAAGTTGACTTGACAGCGGCAAATGTAGTCCCTGACGACCAAATTGGGTGCCGTTGGTCCGTCTCGCCTTCCGGGTTGGAGTCCACGTGACTCGCCTTGGGCTTGGGTCGAGACTTTACAGGACATGGCTCGCAACCGACACTAGTGGCGCGTCTCCTGCCGTCTCCTAATCGGATTGCCTGTTGAAAGTGTGTTGCTGAGTTATCTGCGGGGTAATGGCTGATTATGACGCGTGGCAGTGAAAGCCGCAAGGAAGCTGTCTCGCCGATGTCGCCTTATCTTTGCACGATAGCCAGCTGTTTGTGACGGTATGTTGTTAACACAAGGTGTAGGCGCCTTGACTCTGAATGTTTGCTTGGGGCATTAAGGTTTTCAGGTAAGTACTTTTTCTCTCCCTCTTCTTATTCTTTATTTCATAGGTCCTCATGGTTGTATGGCAGCGAAACATCAGTTCAAATGGCTGATGTACTGCTGATGATGATGGGATGATGCCAAGGTGGGTTCAACTTGAAAATGACCAGCATCTTTGCCCTACTGACGTTCCGTGCTTGCGCAAGCCGCCAGCTACATCAACAGGTAAACAACTACAGACTACGCGTCACCGGATCGAGCTAGGATCAGCGTTCACACTCGTAGTACGTCAGCTTAATCCCCGCTTCCTCCGGCTCGCCTAAGTCGTTGCAATAAGCCGGCCATCTGCGCTCAAAAGCAATTATTTGTCAGCTTAAGACTACCGTGGATATAGGGGTGGGACTTATGCCATTCATTTCGCACCTCATCTTCTTTTGTGACTCGTATAGTGAAGTATTTAGTTGCACACCGGTTATTAATAATGGTACTGAGGTGACAATACGAAATGTATGCATCTCGCAGCTTTCGTCTTCTTACCGTGTCTTTGAAAGTTGTGAAGGGAACTAACTGCTTTAAATTTCCCAAAAGATGAATTCCCTTTGGAATTATAGTTTCAGATGGTCAGGAATAAATGAGTACACTAGTTCGATGTCGTCCGTAAATAAAAATGGACACCCGTGCCTAATGTAATCTCATTTATAATTTATGTAAATGAGGAAAAGCAATGGGCCAAATACACTGCCCTGAACGAGAACACTAGTGACAAAGCTAGAAGAAGAAAAGGTTGACCTATGGAACAATGGTATAATACGGAAAAAAAGCCAAGGCTTGACAAGTCACGTAGGATGGTTTGTGGGAACGCGGCTAGTTCAAAAAAGTGGAACAAAAGTGGAAAAAACGCATCAGTAAACTCACCACATTAACACTAGGGTATTTCCGTCTGCCCCGATTTCGTGGGGTTGGTGAGCACAATGTTTGTCTGCGCCAAATCAACACTCAATGAATAGAAATCAGTCCAAGTAATGTGTGCGATGTAAAGCATCGCCGCGGAAATGACAAAAGTCGTAAGACCGTTCCACGGTTGACAAATTTGAAGGACAAAATAATTCCAGTGGCATTCCAGACGATCACTGAGCAGCTTCAACTTATGACCCCTGAATTCCGTGTAGCGGGTAAGCTTCAGGAGGTGACGGCAGGCGTGACCGAGTTTTTCAAATATGGAACGCCAGGATTTGGTCAACCCGTAGATAGCGATTTCTTCTGCTGTACACTCCCAGGGCTCTAAGTCGCCTATGGTATTGCAGGTAGGACAATCCCTTTGCATTTTCGTTTCCCTTCGCTAGGCGGTCCCCAGCGCAGCCAGGTCGCGTTTTAATCAGGGTTGCCAGGTCTGGATCGCGTACACTACATTGGCCCTGACATATGCACTGATAATTTGGGGAAAGATGGAGGGATCGAACGGCCCAAACGCCATCTGTAACAACCAACATATCGGTTCGCGGTTTTGGACACCTTAAAGAACTGCGCCGAACAGCTGAGATCATCTTGCATCACCACCCAAACTTCACGCCCTTGTGAGGCGATTTTCAGCATGTCGTCTCCACGCTTATATTCGTACGTGGGCTTGTGGCGGACATGCACGGTGTTGCACTTGTCGGTGTTAAAAGGAAGTAGATCTGCCTTTGACATTCCAAGGGTGTGGTCTAAATCTCGTCGCAGCATACCGTGATCTTGCTGACAGTCGATTGCCCGCCATATCTTGATGTAATCGGCAAAAAGCAGGAAATTCGACTTGATGACACTCGCGAGGTGATTAATAAAGAACAAGAATAATCGTGGCCCCAACACTGACTCGTATGGTACACCGCAGTCCATAATAGGTGAATAAGAAATTGAGCCCAAAACTCGAACCTGAGAGCGCCGCTGAAGAAGGCGGTTTCCGATCCATCTATGGACAGGCTTCCCAAACGCATGCTTGCAGCTTTTGGAGAACAATGACGTGATCTGTGCGTTCGAAGGTTGTAGAAAAGTCTAGGTAGATGATATCAATACCGATCACACTGTCAGCCATCTCTGTGCAACTGCCACGGGCAATAAGTAGAATGGTAGCACATGACCGATGCTGACGGAATCCGTGTCGTTCTGACGCCGTGAGGTTAGACCTTTCGACGCAGCCCATTACATCCTCAGCTATGATCGATTCCATCACCTTTGAAAGCACTAAAAGGAGAATCACTGGGTGATAGTTTGCGGGCTCTGAACAGCTACCAGTCTTTAAAATCGGGGTAATGATGTCATGCTTCCACATGTTAGGGACCTGCTGTTCGTCCAGGTATCTTTGGGAAAATTTAGTTAGTGGTTCAGCTATCCTCGTAGTTGCCACCTGCAGTGCTTTCGGGGGTATGTTGTCAACCCCATGGGGAATTATGGGTGCGCAACGAGAGTAGCTTCCTCAAAATGGTCGCCGAACTAAAGGTGAGGTGTGTAAGTACTGGCGTCTCGGAGAGTGGGACAGGTATGCTACACATGCTGGTAGCACGTCGGAAAATTGGAGCCATAGAACGTAAGCCACATCCGTGGCGGTTTAAGCACATCCACCTGCCGTGGGGGAACACCACGTTTCACATTCCGGAGGCTGTTTACGTCTGTACAGAAGCTTTTGTTAGCACAAAAGGTTTCCGCTACACTCTGCTGGTGTACTAATTTGTCCTCACGCACAAGTGTGGTACAGTGATTACGATGCCAAACATAGTTACTCGTTGTCAGGGCTAGCGTTGGCTCTATACGCATGTCACGCTGCATCTCTCACTGTCATGTATTTTCGGGTTCTGCTCCGAATGAATGATTATGAACTTGTGGAACGAAAGGGTTAGTTGACCCATGCAGATTTAATCAGACCGCTGAACTTGTCAGTAAACTCTATCCAAACACTGTCAATAGAACAGTCGTCCGAAAACTCCCAGCTGGCATCTGCCACAAGTTCTGCCAACATGTCGTAGTGGATGATTGTTCGAAACAAATTACTATATTTTCGTGGATACTCCGCGCAACAAACCAAGTCGTAAATTATGACTACGTGGTCACTCCACCCCAGAGATCTCTCCATCCTTAGATCCTCAATTATGCGCTCTTAGTTCGTGAGCACCAAATCGAGCACAGATGGTTTATTTCCGGCTCTGAATCGGGCGGGCGAACTGACATAGCTGAAGAGCGGAATTCTCGCAATATACTTGTAGATCTGCCTTGAATTGCTCGTTGGGGAATGCTAGAATTTCCGAGTCGTGAGTATTGAAGTCGCCGGAGATGAGAACATGGCTGTATCGTCCTCTTAGGACGCTTACCAAGGATAATGTCAGGCAAAAGTCCATCACTGGGGTGAACATTGGGGGACGATAAACAACAGCCAAAAGGCAACTGTTGTTCAGTCTGTCGCAGATTGCACCAAAGTGAGTACATGATCAGCATTTCCGGATCGACTACCGGTTCCCACTGCAGGTCGTTGCGGTAGTATAACATTAACCTCCGCCCTTGCAAGGACGATCGTTTCGGCATCGGTAATTTCTGAGTGTAATCAAGTGTCCGTGACAAATATGGGGTCCTAGGAATGTGACGCTTCACGTAGCCGCAGTTCGGTAAGCTTGTTCAG